AACAACAACAAATTATAAGAATTCGTTATGGAACTTAACTGTGGAAGATAATTGAGAAGCCACAAAGCACTTTCAGAATAAGAATTGGTATGACTAAGTGGTGTCCTAATTATTCATTCTTTCCTCCCCATCTTAATCTTTTCCTTGTTCTGTCTTTATAACTCATCTTTTTTAGATTAGCTGAGGTCTTGTTTTTTTGTGTACCACTGAATTGGAACCAACCTATAGCAGACCCTCCAGCGAATTTTTGGAGGCAATAATTACACAAGAGGAGATTGTCTAATGTTTCTCCTACTGAGCAGCTGACCAATTTGAACCACCTGCCTTTGGGATTACAATGAAGTTTCTTACCACTAGGCCACCAAAGCTCCCTGATATATTCTTACTTAAAAGAAATATTGAGCACCTCACAGCTTAATTAGACCTTAAGTTGCTTTAATTTAACTTGTATTTTTTTTCTTTTACATTTTTTTAATATTATTATCATTACTGTATGTTATTTCTGTGTTATATTTTAAAGGCTAGTTGTAGTTTTTATTAAGTTACAGCAAAAGTCAGAATTTGACATTATTTTCTAGATTTTCTTTTTAAAAGCAATATTGTATAATGTTACCTTGTTATTTTTCCATTAGGCAGCCAACAGTTAGATTCCATTCATGTAACACAGCTGGAGAGAGATACAGTTCTAGTGTGTTTAGACAGTAAGTACTGTTTTGAAATTTTTTCAGAGTAGATACTTGAAAATAATGTTTCTTTTACTGGAATTTATGATATCAAACTATAATTCAAGGTTACCATTTTTCTGCCTTAAAGGACCTTGTTCTATTGTTGACAGAGTAGTTAATTGATATGTTTTTTAGTATTATGCTCTGTAACTTTTTTATTTTATGTTTAAGTTTTATTTTATGTTTAAGGAAACATATAAAAATGGTGTAGGGTAAAATTTTTTTTTAAAGCCCATTTTTTTATACCTCATTATATTTGATGAGTAAAATCTTACTCATACTTCTTTATAATTAATGAAAAATATAAAGTTATGCTATTAAGATAACTTCTAAAATAATCCTATGACATGAACTACTAGAATGTAATGAACATGAGAAATAATGTATTTATTAATTTGCTACTTCTGCCTCCTGATTATGATTTTGAATTGTGAGAAATGTTTGAATTGTTTTTGTGTTTCTTTTGAATTGTGAGAAATGTTGACAAAAATAAGCTATATTACAAAGCATAAAGGAGAAAAACTTTAGCACTCTGGTTCATTTTTTCCCTCTTATATATCTAATTAAGGAACGTTGATTACAATTTTCATGGAGTAAAATCTGTATATTGAAATTCACAGAGATATGAGATTATATTTTCAGTTTAGCAATATTTGCTATGACTAACCCACTTTCCCCCTTTTTAATTATGAAAATGTTTTTATTGTTCTAATACTGATTTTGCATTTTATTTTGTGAAGCTTTACTCAGTAGACTTACCTTTATACAAATCATAAAGATCATCTAATATTACACATAAGTAAGTCAAAACCGTCAGTGTTTTGTGCAGCAACTCTTCATTATATAGTTTTGATCTTCTGACTATTGAAAAGATTGGAGTGTTATTATATTATCCTTATATGCATTTTTTAAATTTTTTTTATCCAGACAGCTAAAAAGTCTAGTACTGATTAACCAATAATCAATCATAATTGATAATAATAATGTTAAACCTCTAATGCTAGTGTCATTTTCATTTGTTGCTGTGCCACTGCAATGTACTGTCAAGTCAGAGCCAGCTCATAACTGAACCTCCATTGGTTTTATGCCTGTAAACTGTACAAGAGATTGCCCATCTTTCTCATACAGACCAACTAGTGGAATCGAAGTTCTCCCAGGCAGTGCACTGGGCCACTAGAGCTCAATTTTCATTTGCACAATGTACATATCTCAAAATTCTTTCAAATTCTTTGACTAACTGATAGCCTTTCCTCATAATTATTCAAGCAAAATAGAATATTGACTTTCTTGATATTTGTTTTTAAAGAAGCAGAAAATTTCGTTATCAGCTCTAGTGGCCTAGAGGATAGGAAGTTGCATTACCACACAAAAGGCAGGTGGTTCAGATCCACCTGGAAGGTCAACTGTGAGTCAGTTGCAACTGAACAGCAATGAGTTTTGAGAGTTTTCTTTACTATTTATAGGTTTCAGTAAACTAGTGAAATAGACCTGTAGTCCCAAATCATAATGATTTGTGATTGGTTATTAAATAAAGGAGAAAGCAGTGCATGAGAGAAAAGCATCTTTAAGTCAGAGCTGAGATGACAGCAGATTGCCTAAAAAGAAATGGAATTCTTTTTTTGTACCATTTATCCTTTAGCATAAGGTTATTCCTTATCTTTATCATTTAACTTCTGGAGAATATGTGACCCACGAAATACTATTTCTTGCCCTATGGGTCTTTGTAGAATAGTAATCACTAATTAAATTTATCAGTTACTACAAATATTATTACTCACCATAAATTGTCTCATTCTAAGGGTAAAATCAGCTGTTGTTAAATATTTAGGCACCAAGGCAGTCCATGTTAAAGTGCTGCACTTTTTAAATATGAGAATATAAATGTCAAATAGATAACATACAAAAGACAATCATTTCAGTAGAACTGTACTTTTATAGTACATCTTCTAAAACACATAAATGACAGTATTCTGGCCATAGATGCTTGGATCAGGAAAATAGTTGAAATTTATTGAGAATATTGCTTGATACACAAGTAATATATGCATATTACATTACATTTATAGAAGCAAATTTGCATTTCCAGTCTTGATTTGTTGGGTGTTTTTTTTTCTTTTTTAAAGAATTTGTAAAAATTGTAAATCTACAAGGAAAATTAAAATCGAGTAAGAAACTGGCCTCTGAACTTAGTTTTGATTTTCGCATCGAATCTGTTGGTAAGTCTTCTCTTTTTCATGAGTTTGAAATCCCTATCTTATTGTTCTTAGACTAGCTCGCACTAGTCTAGTGCACCCCAAGTACATTCCACTATGCAACCTTAATTGTGGACTCTTGTGAATTTCATTTAAAATTTAATAATATTTGTTAAGGCCACTGACATTTGACAAGCTGAAAAAAAGTATTAGTCCTTTAATTCCTATTCACTTTACCTAAAAGAACACATTTTCCTGTTTGCTTGTTTAGACAGGTTTTTTTTGTTGTTTTGTAATTGATCTTTTTCTTACCTTTTAAAAAAAATTTTAATTTTATATTTGTTTGCTTACAAAGTTTGTATACATTGTGTTTCACACTATTCTTCATTCACATTGTCTTTCTTACAATCATTCCCATTAATTATATTTTATTAAATTAATCACCATTGGATTATACCCACCTTTACCCTGTATTTTCAGGTCAGTCCCCACTGAATCTTTCCCATTTCCTTTACCCCCTCCATCCATCTACCAAACCCATCCTCACCCCTCTGCTCCCACCCTTTCCCCCTTGGGGAAGTTATCCTTCTGTTTTTTTACCATAATGGTCTGATGCAGTATTTGTCCTTATCAGGATTAGCTAGTTCACTCAGCATAATGCTCTCCAAGATCACCCAAGTTATGTAGTATTTAAAAAAAAATAAATAAAAATCGTTCCTCCTTACTGCAGTATAGTATTCCATTGTATGAATGTACTACAATTTCTCAATACATTCAGTTGTGGCTGGACATTTGGGCTGTTGTTTCCATGTTTTAACAATGGTGAATAATGCTACTATGAACATTAGTGTATGAATCTCCATTTGTGTGTCAGTTCTCATGTCCTTGGAGTATATTCCTAATAGTGGAATAACTGAGTCAAATGGAGTTTCTGTGTTCAGTTTTTTGCCTTCCAGAGTGGTTGGATCATTGTACAATCCAGTTTTATTTGCTACGTAGTTTTCCTCGCCAGTGAATCTTTAAATTATTAGATCTTCCTGGGTAGAAAAATCCATTTAAATCAACTCCTTTTAAAAAATTTAACCAATTTGAACTGTTTGTTTTTAATTTGTAGTGATTCATGAAATTAGGTGATTTGTCATTGGAAAGTTATTAAGTTGTGTTTCCAAAACATTCTTACTCAAACATTTTATAAATTCTGTAGGAGAACTGGCCCAGCTATGGAGTTAAATTCTGAGCTTGGGACTTTTATTTTTAAATAATAATTTCGTGATAGGAAAAAGTGAACGTAAGTATAAGAGATACTTTGTTAGTAGATATGAATATATGACATTATTTATATTGCCATATTTCTTTATCTAGAAAAATTTTCTATTTTGACAATTTCACTAATTTTAAGAAAAAAGTTTTGTTTTGTTTTGTTTTTTTAACCCCTCCCGGCGAAGGCACGGCGCGGAGAGGCACCCACGCCGGCGTCGCGTGGGTGGGGACAACGGGGAGATGCGGGAGGGGGGAGGGGAAGGAAAAAAGTTTTTAACATGACAAAACGAAAATGGCATTTTATCAGAAGTTAGCCACTTTTTATGATAGTTTATCAGAAGTTAGCACATATTTAGACAAATGTCTCATATATACATATGAAACATATAACACTGTCTCAAAAAATTACATGAGCTCTTTAGGCATGGCTTTGCCACAAAAAAGGTTAAGAACTAATGGTCTAGGCAGTAAAATTGTGTGACTACTTAACCAGCTTTACCTTATTTCTCATTTGTGCAAACAAGTAAGAACATATAGTAGGTAATCAATCTGCGCTTTATTTTATTTTCAATTTTCCCTTTTATTTTAGTATGCCTTCAAGATAGTGTGTTGGCCTTCTGGAAACATGGGATGCAGGGCAAAAGTTTCAAGTCAGATGAGGTGAGATTTCTCAATTTCCAGTGATTTCTGGTAAAGATTTTAAATACTGAAATGTCCATTTTATATATTTTCTCTGTAAATCTACTTTACTCTGTTTATACTGTTAATGCTATGGACTGGTAAGCCCATGTTTATACCGTTAATGCTATGGACTGGTAAGCCCACGGAACCAGCACTTTCCTTGTTTTGTATTATATTTTTCAACTCTTTTGGGCATAAGAAATTGGAGATTGTAAGTATGTCATTTTATCAAATCCAAATCCACTGTCTGTTCAAATTGATGACAACTATCATATTTTTTTAATTTCTTTTGTTTTTAAGCTTAGTTTTACTGTGATCTGAATGAAAGTTTACAAAACATTGGTTATTAATTCATTCATATGCATATTGTTCTATAACATTAATTATAATGCAATGTCCAATCATCTATTACTGTGTATTTCACTTCACTCATCTTAACAATCTTCAGAGTTTCTGACATCCATTTTGGTCCTTTTTTTCTCTTCTGTCTTTGTAATGAGAGAATGATTATCATCTCTCTTCCTGGATGATACATTTGACATCCTCCCACAACTCATTAGGTCTTTGCTCATTAGTTTTCAAGGCCTCAAACCTGTCCCTGAGATGGTTCTGAAATTCAGGTGGATGAACTCAAAGTCATATTTTGATTCCCGTGGATTCGGTTTAATTTTCCTCAGCTTCAGCTTGAACTTGCTTATGAGTAGTTGGTGAACAACATTTTAACAAGTGTCTGTTACTTACTTATTAATATTTTGCAACAATATATTTGATATACGATTCATCCATTAAGTTTTGTTTTTGTTTTTTTTAATAATTTTTTTTTTATTGGGAAAAACATATTGGGGGTACAAGGAGGTGTGAGGGTTGGGGGCAGAAGGGTGAGGATGGGCCAGGATGCAGTTGCAGAGCTGCACAGTTTGGTCGGTGGGGGGAGCAGGTGAAGGAAATGATTAGGGTCCAGTGGGGACCAGATGCTACAGAGGAATGACAAGCATTTTCCAATAGTAATTAAACCAACTGTCTTACTGATTTGGGAATTGGATGCCGACTCTCTGGCTTCTTCATGCTGAACAGGGGTGTAGGTATAAAGGGGGGAAGGGAGGACGCTTTATCACCTTACTGGTGGTCTTGGGTTACAGCTGCTTGCCTTCTTGCTCTGTTAGAAGATATTTTCCTGTCGTTTGTTCCCCTCTGGACTGCAAAGTGTTTTCCCGGTCATCCATTAAGTTTTTGAGACTACAAATCTTACCAAGATAGACTGATGAAGCAGCTGATAGGTTTGAACTACCAACCTTTCCATTAATAGCACAATGTGTTAACCCACAAGGCCACCAGTTTATGTTAAGTTTTTTATCAATTCAGGCCTCTAATTTATAGTTTGTAGATATCATTGCTAAGCTTTCTGAGCATAAATACAATTGATTACTTTTCTAAAATTCGTAGTCTTTTCCATTAGCTACACTTGAGTGGTTTTTAAAATCTTTTCATAAAATTCTAAAGTAATATGTATTCTAGGGCAAAGGGAGAAAACTCCAAGAAATTAGTAATGTTATTTTGTAATAATAATTACATAATTATTTTATTGGTAAATGACTTCATAAAAGAGATAACTATTTTCATTCTAATCCTGCGAGGCATAATGAAGTATAGTTTTAAATAATTTTAACACCTACAGTATTCCACACACTTTACATATATTTGCTCATTTAAGGCTCAGAACAGTCTTAGGAGGTACAATTTGTATCGCTATTTTTACTGTTATAGAGTGGTTAAATAACTTGTCAATAGTTGCATAGCTGATAGTATGTAGATTTGCCATGTCTATAAACATATTTTTTAGCTTAGATAATCAGAGTATGATGTATTCAGGAAATGAGGCTTAGACTCAACCTTGAGCAATAAATCTTAATACTAGAAGACTTAGTTTAGGTACCTGTGGTGGCATAGTTGGTTATGTGTTGTGTTGCTAACCAAAAAAAATTTACAGTTTGAATCCACCAGCCACTCTGGGAATTAAAATAGACAGTCTCTGTGACTGTTGACAGCTTCAAAAACCAGTAGAGGGCTTTGTCAAGATCACTCACTGGGGGTTCAGTTTTTGGTTTTTGTATCTTAGTATAGGTTCTTTTAACATCAGATCCTAAAACAGCAAATCAAGTATAGGCCATTTATTTAGAGTAGTTTCCAGAAAATAAGTAGTAACATGAGAATTATAAAAGCAAGGAAGGAGGAGGAGAAGTTGGTCAAGAGTGTATTAATAAGTTGGTTCTTACTATGACAGTTAGGGCATAAGTTGGTTACTACTATGACAACTAGGGCATAATGCCATGGGGACCACTAAGGAAGGGTGTAGAATACATGTCAGGATTACCCCCTTAAAGATGGTAGACAGACTTTCTGCACTATCTGTATCTTACATTGGTTATAATTTCCCCCAGTATATAAACCCTACATTTAGGGGGAAGCACCTGCATGTGGCTAAGCATGTTCTGTGTTTAACTTTTGAGAAAACCTGTACACATACAGAATGCGTGTGAGACATCAGTGCATGGATGTGCCCACCATAAACCTTCTGAAATCTGATAGGACATAGGGGATAGTGCAAGACTGGCAAGTATCAAAGGACAGAGGAAAGCTCTGCAGACAAACCTGTATTCAAATCTTGGGTTTACCGAGTTACTTAATCTCTTATGCCTTGGCTTTTTCAGTAATACAGAAATTATAATACATACCTCAAAAAGTTATTCTAAGGAAAATGTATGAGTCATTGGTTCATTTCAAATAGGTGCTCAGGGGAAAACTTACTGAAATTTATTTTGTTTAAGGAGTTATCAAAATTATGCATTGTGTTTAGTAATTGCTATATATAATTGTATGTTTAAATTGTTATTTAAGCAATATAGGACATAAACTATTACTGACAGGTATTTTCTTTCCTAGGTTACCCAGGAGATTTCAGATGAAACAAGAGTTTTCCGTTTACTAGGATCAGACAGGTAATACTTTGGTTGTTCTAGGTTCATTTCCAAAAGTATTCAAAGTTTATGTGCTTAAACATACTGTCAACTTATTGTCAGCTGTATTGCAAACAGAACCCAGCAACTTAGGAAGGTTATCAATGTCCTTAATGAAAGGGAATAATATTTTAATTATGTTTAAGCAATATTATGTATGAGGATCATGCTTCTAGAGACAGTTATGTTAAGTGCACCATTGAGTCAAATACCAATCACATTTACAGTGACCCTGTAAACAACAGATCTGAACCTCGCCCTATCTTGTACCATCCTCATGATCTCTGATATGCTTGAGCTCACAGACCTAGTACTGTATCAGTCCGTCTTGTTGAGGGTCTTCCTCTCTTTTTTTTTTTTTTTTACTCCATCTTTCCCAACATGATGTGTTTTTCCAAGAACTGGCCTTTGTTTACCAAATAAGAAAGTTTCATCATCCTTGCCTCTTCAAAACTGAGTGGAACAAAACAAATGTATTGCTATAATTGTTTATGTCTGTAATAATAGGACAGTGTTTTCCGTCCTCTTAGTTTCATCATTTCTTCTTGCTTTGTTACCTTCTGTTAACTATTTCTGTATGCATCTCCTCACATTTGCTCTTAAATCAGAAAATGTTGAGCTACATTTCCTAGGTCAGACTAACTTAGAATTGTGTGGTTTCTTTATGTTCAAGATTAAAAGCAAGTTAGAAATTTCTCCTTCTATGAAAGAAAAGCAAATGTTTCTGCCAAACCTACATTATCTTAATACTTGTGTGACTGATAAAGTAACATTGGTAATGCTGTAGTAAATCACTCACCTGCTAACCAGAAGGTCAGTAGTTTGAACTATCAGCTGTTCTGTGGGAGAAATATATGATAGTCTGTTTCTGTAAAGATATCTAGCCTTGGAAAACCATATTCTGCTCCATAGACTGACTATGGGGCAGAATCAACTCAGTGCAGTGGTTTGATTTGGCTTCGTTTCTAGGACTAATTAAAGAGCCCTTTGGTGCAACCACTGTGGAAGGTGGTGTTACACTTTCTCAGAAAGTTACAAATACAGATACCATGTGACCCAGCAATTCCACTACTGGGAATATCCTCCAAAGAGACCATAACTGCCACTCAAGCAGAT